ATTTAATGTTATTATATTTAATGTTATTTCCACTCTTTATCAAAAATTACTTTTAAAAAAATAAACACAAAATTTTAAAAAAATTTAAAAATGAAAGCTAAAATACTTTAATTGCGCACATTGTCTCTCGATACTGCGCGTATTGTCTGGAATTGCAGATTTGCAATAACGGAGGATCGATTAATGAATGCAGGCAATAAAAGATATACAGGGAGAGAGAGAGAGAGAGAGAGAGAGAGAGAGAGAGAGAGAGAGAGGCTCGTTATGGAGGAATGAGAATGCGTTTAATCAGCCTTACTTAGACAATTATTATCTACATTATTATACTAAATTTATATGCGTGTAACGTGGGTGATTTGCGTACGTGCGTGTACATCTGTGTACCTTAATTACAAATTACATCCTTGGAGATATGTGCTGTGGACAACGATAGTCTTATGAGCAACGTGTGATCGTAACGTAGACACGATGTGTGCACGTTATTGTACATATAAACAATTATCATTTACCACTTGGAAAAGTATCTATATCTTGCGTTCGGAGCTTCAGGATCTTGTGTGTCTTCGATGGATATCCAATCATCTTATCGTTAATGATTACCTGTAAATAACGTTGTTAGTGCTGTATATTTTACGCTATTTAACTGGCTGTGATATTTATATGTTCAGAGTTTAATTGTGATTAGCGATATTCTATGTTGATCCTGTTGAGCGTACAAATTGCGTACACCCATAAATTTTATCAATTCAAACGATTGTAAGCATCGCGAAATCAGAATACACAGTTATTCGACGAAAGGATACGTCATTTGCAGATTATCGCCAATTTTTTTCTGAAAATTTTGGGAGCAGTAACAAGACAATGCGACAAATGTTGATAATTTATAACTTAATCAAATAATTACAGCTCGTTTATACATATGTTATATTTGCTCATTATTTTATCATCGTTATTATTACTAGTTTCGGAGATGCAGATATTTGTAGTACAATGTACTTGTTAAATTTATTAGTGCAAGTAAACAATTTACGATTTAAGTGCCACAGTCCGAAGAGCGCGCTTCAATTAATCGATTTTCAACTAACGATAATCACGCGTTGCTCCGAGTCGTTTAGACCGAATAAAACCCAGCTGTAAGGAAAATGTAAAATAACTCTTCCAGGAAATAGTGCGATACATTTATTACAATTCGGAATACAATACGAATTACGCGATCGATATCAATTATCAATGATCAATCGAATCATCTTCTCTATCATAATGACACTTTCGTATGACTGTTTGCGCGATATTGAGTTTATTGAAATATTTATCGGTGTTACAAGCGACGTAGATGTGCAGAGAGATAACGCCATTGGAATTTACGCAGCGGTAATGATTGAGATTCATTACAAGAAGAAAGAAGCTTGTTAATGACTGACTACTCGACGCATCCACTATGCGGTTGATCCGTCTCTTTTTCTCTCATAATTCGAGTGCATGTTCCATTGCCTAATTATATTTAACGATTAAACGTCACGTTTCCAACGTCCTTAATTTTAATGACGATTTCGAAGTCCAGCCTTTCCTTAGGAAAAAAAAAAATCATATCGATCAGAAGTTTCACGTGACGTTTTCGACAATTATGCATACAATTGATCGTACAAGTGATGTGCATGTTGTTCATCAACTTTTTATAAGGCCAAATTTACAAGTTTTGCATATACTTAAATAGACACGTTATGTAGTCGAACGACAGCCAGATAATCGCTACGTGGAAAGTATCAATGGAATTTCTGGTCATTTTGTGTGAAAAAAAATCTCATCAGCCAATCTCTAACTAAATGTATTAATATAGTGCCAAGTTTTACAATGGTCTTCCTTTAATGTAAAATCGCGATTT